AGCATGTGTGAAATCCACATGGTGATATATTTCACCACAGCGTGGGAATTGCTGTTTACATTTTAACAACTGCTGGTGTGCAAATGGTGCTCATCTCCATGGTAACCAGACCAGGATATGCTTTACAGGAGCTCTAGTTGCTGCCAAAAAGCCTTTTTGGCCTGTTTTGAAATACTTAGATTACTCATCTGACCTAATGAGTTTTCCGAGCTAAAGTGGGACCAGTGGCACCAGCCTGAAAATGTCTGAAAACACAGACGGCTTTAACGCGCCACAGATCAACACAGACAGCACAGCGGATCTGGAAGTACGACATGTCATGCATTGTTGGCATTCTTCTTTTTTTTTCTGCTCGATCCAGAGCTACCTGAGCAGACAAACCAGCTGAGGAAGGAAGAGCAGCGTGTCACAGGTTGTTCCCCTTTCCTGTTCACTTTACAGTATTTTGTGGAAGCCGTGGGTTATTTTACCAGAAAACAAAACAGAAAAAAACAAACCAACACAACACAAAAGCAATCCCTCCAGAAACAGAAAAAAAAAACGTGAGAGTCGTTTGTTGGCAGGTACCGCACACAAGATCAATCAATCTCACCCTTACCCTCCGCCCCCTCACACACATGTTGTGCTCCTATTTTTAGAGCTGCGACTCTTTAAAACTTTCCGTCTCAAACCCCCTTCCTCTTCTGTTGATGTGTGAAGAGACGTGCTCGTGATTGGCTGAGCAAACGCTTCCCTTCAGAGGTTGCTCAACATTATTACAGCTTTTATGTTTCTATTAAACTACTTCAGACTAGTCTGACCCCATAGTTCAAGCCTGAAGTCATTTTATGTCTTTTTATTGTTTTTTGGGGTGGGTGTTTTCAAGGCTAGTTTTGGAAATAATTACCAAAGATAATGTTATCACGTCTGATATCCTTCACTTTATTTGCTTTGCAGTGAATGAAATCATCAGAAAGGATCTGACGGGGGTTCAGGCCAGAGGTCAGACATAGACGACAGAGCGCAGCAGGAAGCAACAGCCTTTTCCCCTTCCTGTCCTGCCTGCAGACAGATACGCATCGATGCAATCATCCCATCTCCAGCAAGGTGGCGCTCCTTCCTACAATCACATCTTCTGGTCATTGTTCTCCTCTAACACAGAGACTGAAACATCAGCTCCTGGTTGCTGTTTGTGCTTTGAATGATTTCCTGCAATAAACACTTTGTAAACAGAGGAGATCATTTTACCAAAACGACGTGCAAACCAGCAGGACGACTGAGAAACAGGGACATGCACCTTATTTTGATGAAAACCTTTACAAGTTGAACCTCAGAAACCATGAAAAAAAGGAGAAAGGGCTGGAAAAAAAAGGGAAATCCTCACATAAGTCCTTAAGATCGCTTTATCTGCTTCGTTCATGCAATAAACTCACACTTCCTGCCTTTTATCTGGTTTGTAGCATGCAGCTGGTTCCCAAAAAAAATCTCTCGCAGGTTAATGCTTTTACCACCAACGAAGCGCAAATCTGTTTTCTTGTATGCATTTTTCTTGTGGCTTATTATATATTGAGGTCTTCTTGCACAAAATGTATACTTGTCAATCTTTTTTGAAAACCGTCCAAAGCTTTCATGGCAATCATCTCATGAGTTCAGTTTTCTGCTAGAAGACAAACGCACACAGCCTTAGGCGTAAATGAACTGTTGTGACACTGCCTATTATGCACTGTTTGGTTCATGTTCTTACTTCATTTAGTCTAACAGAGGGAATGAACATGTTGCACCTCGTTTTGATGCTATACACTGCAAAGAAATAGCTAAAAATAAGTAAAGAATTCTTGAAATAAATGTGTTTCTCCTTAATTTGAGCAGAAATTAGCATTTTATCCTTAAATTAGGATGATTAGATATCATGCACTTGACATAAGATCATTGTTTTTTTTTTTCAAATTTTAAACTTGACATAAGATCATTGTTTTTTTATTTTATTTTAAACCAAATTGATTTTATTCTATTGACAAAATGTCTGCCTGCTCAAAAAAAGGAAAATACTCATTATTTCAGACAAGTGTGACTTATAGTTTACTTTTTGCTGTGTATTCATTACAGTAACCTGATGATACAATATTAGATATATCCTTGTACGTATCAAGGGCCAAAAGTGCCACAATACAATAACTAAACATGTTTAATATTATTATATGTAATTGTAGTAGCTACACTAAATTGATAGCTAACTTTTTGATATTTAAATACAGTTAATTAAATACATTATGAAAGTATTTACCATCAGAAGTTATGGTCAAAACTGCAAAAAAAAACAAAAATATTTTTCTCCATAAATGAACATGTAAGACAATCAGCCTACTGAATAAAATGATTTATGTTTGGAATAAGAAAAACGACACCTATTTGGTTTTAAGTGCGTAATATCTTTTTATTTTATGCGAAAAAATGCAGATGATTAGCAATCTGTTGCACTTACCTGCTTAGATGACCTATTTAAATAAAGAGTTTTTATTCATTTTTAGGATAGAAGTGCTTGTTAAAATTATGCAACTTATTTTAATACTGGTTACATTGTGTAATGTGCCAAAGGTTATCTCTAAAAATTTAAAGTGACCCTTAAACCCTGTAATGCCAAATGTATCATATTTGATACATCCGGTTTCTGAAATGTTTTGTGTCTGAAAACTTTTGCATAATTTAATGATAAAAACTTTGCTCAAAATCCTATTGTACACAATCAGATATACCTGATAACAGCCAGTAGAAGACTACACAAAAAATAATCTTATCACATAGTAATAAATTATTAATATCAA